TGATTGGGATGATGATTCGGATGATGATGATGATGATGATGATGATGATCATGATGTTGATGATGATCATGAAGTTGACGGTGATGGTGATGGTGATGATTCGTATTATGATGATGATTATGCTCAGGAAGTTGATGATGACAATGATGAAGATACTGATGATGATGACGTTGATGATTATGATGATGATGCTGATTCGGAGGATAATGACGATGATGATGATGATGATGTTCATGATGATGATTATTGTGGTGATCATGATGGTGATGATCTTAATCATGATGCTGATGACGTTCATGATAGTGATGTTGATAATGATTCGCATGATGATGATCATGTTGATGATCGTGATGATGACGATGATGATGATGACGATGATGATGTTGATGATGATCATGTTCATGACGTGGATGATGATGCTGATGATATTGATGATGATGATGGAGAGGATGATGGTGATGGTGTTGATCATGATCATGATCATTTTCACGATGATGATGACGATGATGATGATGATGATGATGATTATGATTATGGTGTTGACGATGATGATGATGATTCGGATGATGACGCTGTTTCCAGTGATGATGATGATGATGATGGTGATGATGTTGAACATGATGATGATCATGTGGATGATGATGATGATCACGACGATGTTGATGATGATGATGATGATGATGATGCTCATGATGATGATGATGCTGATGATGATGATGATGATGGTGATGATCATGATAATGATGATAATGATGATGATAATTTGTAATGTTTGTTATGATGATGATGATGATGATGATGTTGATGATGATGATGACGATGATGATGATGTTGATGATGTTGTTCATGACGATATTGATGAGGACGACGATGACAATGATGACGATGATGTTGATGATGACGATGGTGATGAGGATGAGGATGACCATTACGATGATGTTGTTGATGATGAAGCTGACGAGGATGATATGGATACTTTTGGTAATGATGATGATGATGTTGATAATAACGATGATGAATAACAAGGTGATGCCAACAATGATGATGATGATAATGCTGATGATGTTTCGGATGATGATGATGTTGATCATGGTGATGATGATGACGATGATGAGTAAGATGATGACGATGATGCTGATGAGGATGATGATGATGATTTTGATGGCGATGATGATCATGATGATTATGATGTTCAAGTATTAGACGATGATGATGATGATGATGATAATGAGGATGATGATGATGATGGTGATGATGATGATGATGATGTTGATGACGACGATGATGACGATGATGTTGATGGTGATGATGATGATGACGATGATTCGGATGATGATGATGATGATGATGAATATGATGATGATGATGATGTTGGTGATGTTGTTGATGATGATGTTGTTGATGTTGATGATGATGAAGCTGATGACGATGTGGATGATGATGATGATTATGATGATGACGACGATGATAATGATGATGATGATGACGATGATGAAGAAAATGATAATGATGATTATTAGATGATGATGACGATGATGATGATGATGATGATGGTGATGATGGTGATGTTGATCATTGTGATGATGATAACGATTATGAGGATGATGATGACGATGATGCGGATGAGGATGATGATGATGGTGTTGATGAGGCTGATCCGGGTGAAATGGATCATGGTTATGATGATGATGATGACGATGATTATGATGATGATGATGATGATATTGATGATGACGAAGATGATGATAACGATGATGATGAGGATGATGATGATGACGATATTGGTGATGAAGATGATGGTGATGATGATTTTGATTACGAAGATAATGATGTTGATGTTGATGAAGATGATGATGATGATGATGATTCGGATGATGATGATGATGACGATGAAGATGATGATGATGATGATGATGATGGTGATGATGATGATGAGGATGAGGATGATGATTCGTATGATGATGATGATTCGGATGATAATGGTGGAGTTGATGATTATGATGATGATGATGATGATTCCTATGATGATGTTGATGATTCGTATGATGATGATGATGATTCGGATGATGATGATTATGATGATGATGATGATGATGATGATGATGATGTCGGTGATTCCGATGCTTCTGCTGCTGCTGATGATGACGATGATGATTACGATGATCATGAAGATGTTTATGATGATGATGTTTTTGATGATGATGATGATGAGGATGATGATGATGATGATGATGATTCGGATGATGATGATGA